CTAAGTGATCAGTGCCTTTTTTTCATGAAATGAATAAGCACTTGTCCAGACCAAAGATCCTGATTTGTTAAAATCCCTTGCAGTAGTTCTGAGCAAGCACCTCTTCAGATTCACCCGATGAGCAGCCAAACAGGCCACCTCTGGCGCCAAGTGGCCGCCTTTGTGATGTGTTGGACCATGGGAACTAACGGAAGTTTCCCAAAAAGGAGTGATATGTTTCTTATTGAAAGAGTCAGTCATGCCATTTTCTCCACTGATGGTAGGTAAGATATGATATATTGAAGGGTCATGGTCATGGTCAAAGCATTTCGTAGCATTTCAATCACAGGACCTCATCCATATAGAGAAGGGTGTTTCACCAAATATTCACCATTCCATTGTTTCATAGCATTTCCATCACTGCCACCATTCTGAATGACTTCATTGGAGGTTTGGAGGATGCCACCACCCTTGTGAGTCTCATTGCCAGCTGTCGGAGTCGCTGTTACACAGGTGGATTGCAATGAGTGAACTGTCTGTGGAACTGCGATGCAACCTTTGGCTCCAGGGCTTTGGAGAGGAAGAACTGAGGGAAGAGGAACTTGTTGAAATTCAAGCTTTCCAGCAGCCTGGCGGCAGAAGGGAGCGAAACTGGTCCTGGGATGGTCCAGGGATGGGCAGGTGGGTGTTACGGGACACAGTGCGGAAGTTCACCCTGGGGCTAAAAGTGGTCGGAGGAGAGCGGTGTACCACAGATCAATTTCGTTGTTTTTGCAAATGTTGACAGCAAGCGGTTTCCAGTTATGATTTTGGGATGCACGAACGCGGAATCCAATTTTTGGACACGTAGAAAGACACGTGACACAGTGTTTTTCATTGAATTTTCCAATATGTGCTGAATGTGCTGTTTGCTTAAAGACCATGAGTGCCCCGGTCTTTTGGGGAATTGGGGGGGGAAGAGACTTAGACATGCAGATGGTAAAAGACATGCAAAGGGTAAAACCTTCTTCAGAAAGGAACAGCGACAGGGAACTTCCTGTAACCGTCGCCATTGCGGAAACTCTTCAGTCTTCTGCACTGAGCGTGTGTGACAGACGAGGGTGCAGAGGCTGCTATCTGTGAAGAACTCCACCAGGATTGCAAAGAATGGCTGATTGTTGATAGCACCTGGCTGAACAAGCCTTCACAACCTGAATCTTCCAACCATGCAACATTTCTGCCTTTTGGCTGGTTTTATAGATGACTCTTGCACAGCTGGAATATGCAGGTACAGTATACCCTTTGTACGTGATAATTCCGTGTGTTCCAAACCCATGTCAATAATATACAACCCTCCATACGCTTCGATGCTTCCGGTTACGATCGCTCGGAAGGTCATGGCGCGCGGTATCATCAAGCACCTGAAGCGCATGTATGCCGGGGCGCCGGACGAATTGCATATCCTTCACATCCAAAGGATGCAATATCCTGAAGAATTGCATATCCCTCACTCTGCACATCCTGAAGAATTGCATATCCTACCTTTACACGTATTTGTATTTCTTCTACCTTTGCATCTCAATGCAAAGTACTCTGGGGGCGGGGCAAACACGCCTTTGACTCCATGCGCCACTCTAATTATGTAGGTCCTTAACCCACATAACCCACGGTGCGCCAGAGCAAGATTTGGGGTCAATGGAGTGGCGTGGAGCAAAACTTCGAGACCAGGTCTACAAAACTTCAATGAACAGGAAAAGAATCTCCACAGATGGATGACTTCTTCCTATCCCAAACCGCGCCGTTTTGGAGAACCATTGGACACTTTTCTCCACCCAGGCGCCCAAGCAGTGGATGCTGGACAAGCTCCGCGGACGATGGGCCGGCGACCTAAGTGGAGGGAGTTCCGGCATTTGGAAGACGCCAGTGCAACCTGGATCTGAAGAACCTCATTGAGTACACTCCGTTGAACTAACATGGAAGTGGATGTTGCAGGGAGAGTAGTAGTACTTCTTGTATGACCAGATTGTGTCAAAGGATCTCTTTGACTTGTATCATTTCTCGTCCATGCCAATTGGACGTGATCAAGGGGCCCTTCAAGAGTCACACAACAGACAGATTGGTCGAATTGCCAGTGGCATGCATGATCGAAAATCTATGGCCTTCTCTTATCAGAATGTCTCAAGCAAAACAACTCATGTCACCAGACGGGCAACCCTTGGTTTCCAAACCCAACCTGTCGCCATTTCCATGTCGCCCCATGCTTTCGTTGTTGGCTCCGCCAGCGCTACCCGTCCGAGGCGCCCAAGCCCAATGCCGGTCCCCACAAGCTGCGGGAGTGTCTTCCTCTCATCGCCCCTTGGGTTGAAGAACCAAAGGAGCCACAAAAAGGGCGCGATGAAGAGAGAGAGAGGGACGCGTACGTCACCGTTGCTCCGTTGCTAGCTTAGCGCGGACGAAGTAAGCGCGTACGTCACCGTTTCGGTTCTCTGGAGTGATGGGGCGGGTGAATCGAGAATCGTGAACTCGTGCCAGGGCAGAATTGGTGTTCGGAACAAGCATCTAATAAGATCTATTATAATAAGTGTTTGTCTGAAGAATCGTTGATCCTTTTGTTAAGAGAGGCTTGGCCTGCCAATTAGACAGCCGTTTCGCCACCCCAATGTTCGCGCAGACCAAATGTCCGGTGCGGGACTTGGAGGTTCGTCGGTCCCAGTCATCGGGACTTAGAGTGTCTGGGTGTCAGGTCTCAACCCGCCCAGTGCTCCGACAGCCACACGCCGGATCTGAGGTGATGCTGCGACAGCGGTTGAAGTATGCCGTGATCTCAGCGGAGAAGACGAACGAGCGTGTTTGACGTCGGCTCACGGTGCTGGCAATCTGGGTGCTGCACTGGGCAGCCAGGCTCGGTAATTCCACACTCCTCACATGCGCCACAATGGCATATATTTACTACTTGCCGGGCTGACTACCTGGGCGTTTTCTTTCGTTCCAGGTCAGGAGCTGCCAGGAAAGTCCCAAGTCGAAAGCTTACTCCTGACAACCTAATTCTGCGCCGCTTTTTTGTTCTGGCTGAGTTCCTACTTGGTGACTCGGGGGCACCAGGCAAAACCACTTCAGGGACCAAACAAAGCATACTTTGGGGGTGCTTGGTGTGCAAGGGATGTGGAATACGACCTATAGAGTCAGAGGACTTCAAAGACCTGGCAATTGCCAGCTAGACTAGACCGACTAAACAATTTTTTTGCAAGTTGATATGTCGAGTAGTTCACAGCACTTCAAAGCAATTCACGAGCTGCAAAACTCCAATGGGTGATGGAGAAGAGTCTGGAAAGTGACTCAGTGAGTGACCTTCTGGGTGGATAGAAAGTCACATGCCCGTCAGTCAAGCGGTTGTACTGTAGGTCCACTTCTCTTGAGAAGTGCGGTTTCTATATGGGCGAGTGTTGGCAACACCATTGGTAGATATTTGTAGTGTGTTCTCGCAACCTTTTTTACTGCGGCTCTTCAGAACGATTGAACAAATGTAGACATGCCCTGAACAAGCCTTGGCCCAACGTTTGACCCGTTTGCGGCGCCTCAGGCTGGCGGGTGGTTCTGTCTCCGAAACCCGAAACCCGCCGGCCGGTGCCGCCGGCCCCTTGAGGCGCTGACCTACCGTGAGGTGAAGATGATCGTCATGCAGCGATTCATCAAGGTGGTGTGGAGCCCTAGGGGAGCTTCTTCGTCTGGGACCCCTGATTTTTGTTCGACTCGCTTGGTTTGGGGGGGAGGTTGGTTTGCACAGGTGGGCCTGGAGCCAATAAGAGCAGGTCAGGACAAAGCTTCCCGATTCCCAACGTTTCCCGGCTGAACTTCATCTTCTATGCATGTTGGGAGTTCGTATGACCAACGATACAACATGCGGCCCATTGAGATCATTGAGAGGTCTTTCTTTGCAGGGAGGTTGGGTCGAGCTGATGTTTTTCTCAGGTTACCTTTAAACTTTAAACGCAACAATGGGTTTGATGCCTGACCCTTCAGACACTTGCTACAGGTGAAATCTGGAGTACTCACTTACCCAGTGCCAACTGATCGAATTACCACTCTTTCTCTCTCTAATGATAGGAAAGCTGTAGCAGCAGCACTGTCGCAAAACCACGTGGTTCCAACGACAGACACAAAGACACCCGCCCCCCCCGCCCGGTTCCGAAGACGAAAAATAGACACCATGTGGTTCTGCGTGTTCGCCAGCAAATCAGGATGGGAAGGTCCGAAGCGACATGTTCTACCCTGCGGGCTTCATGGATGTGGTCCAGATCGAGAAGACCAAGGACGGTGTTCCACCGTGGGAAACCACCACCGCACCTGCGACCTGCGAGGCTTCGGAGCGGGTGTTCAACGGTGAAACCGGTGCATGGAAGCCTGGGAAAGGAGGCCAAAATTTGGACGTCCAGAGAGAGAAGGATGCTTGGGACTCAAGGTGTTTGGTTCCACTTTTGCCAGCAGGCTGTGAATGTTACCACAATAATTACTAACTAGGCCCGTCCAATCCACCCGCGACCACCTGTTCTTTTGCTCTCAGAACGGTTATATAGACACTGACACCCTTCCATGTCATTTGTCATGTTGTTTCCATCCAAAAGCCACCCTTTGAGAGGAACTCTTCAAAGATTGCAGCGACCGACAGGAGAACTTTCGCCTGCTTTACAACACCAAGGGCCGCTTTATCCTGCACAAGGCAGGAGGGTGTCGCTTCGGAACTTTGCCCCACCCAAACTAAACAACACAAGGGGTACGATTAGGGGAACATGTCTTTACAACATTTTACAAACAAATGCAAAGGGGGAGGGGAGTCAAGGTGAAGCTACAGACCTAGTGCCAGGATAAATTCTTTGCAGGTCTCACCAAACCCTGCTCCTAAAGTCCCTTCAATATCTCAAGATATTCAGATCTCCTATTTGCACTCCTCCAAATCTGCCAAAAGGCATCCCTCAAGACTCCGTCGAACTTTGGCGCTTTTTTGGGGGGTCGGGTCGCCCAGCGATTGTCTGGAACACTCCGAGGTGGCCAAGGAAGAGGCGAATTACAAGCTCTGCCGGGTCAAGAAGATGATGCGAGGTGGAACAAAACTACTTTGCGACTTCTCCGCGACACGCGAGCGGAAGTTTCTTTGTTTTTTCGTTTTCGAGTCGACTCCCGGCCAGTTGGATTCCCGTCGAAAGTTGGGTGAGGAAAGTTGGTTTGAAGACGCGACTGTCGGGCGGAAGAAGGGGGTCGACCCAGAAGAAGGTCCCGGTGAATTCTGGGCTCAGATTGGAGGATTCTTGGCTCGGTTCGGCGCAGATCCTGTTGGCAAGCCTCTTGATGCAAACCACGACTTCGGAATGCTTTCGCCCCAAAATTCCATCAACTTCTTGCTGAAGGCGCGCCATCCAAGCCCCAAGGCCTTTCAGAATTCCATACTGGTTTGAATGGATGGAAACCCCATCTCAGACTGAAAGCATCCAGACATGCCGCAGATTATCACGAACGGTAGATTCAGCCACCATGTATTGGAATTGGATGGAATTGGTTTAAGATTTGTTTTGACATGCCCCGTGGGGGGTCAGCCCCTTGGATGCTTGGCATCCATTTTGCAGGATCCTTTCTGCTATACAAAGATTTGCTGCGTGGAGATAGCGGAGTCAGTTTGCTGCTCTTCCTCTCAGCTGCCAACTGTTTGGTCTTCCTGGGTCCAAAGGGGCTGACGAAGCATGTCTTAAGGATCAGTCTCACACTTCAGCTTTCACACCAGCATGCAGCATGCTCCGTTTCACCCATGGCTTCACCTGACCAGAGTCCATTCATGTCCGTTCATTGGCCGCTCCGGCCGCCAGGCGGTGACCCACGACGGACGTACCATCCGCTACCAGGACCCTGACGTGAAGGCGCCAGATGTCTATATAGTCAGAACCCACCCACGATTGGTTGTTCAATAGACCAGACTTGAGAAGTGTGTCGTTCAACTGTGAAGGTGTCGTGAAGAACCCCACTGTTCCTAAATCTATGATGGGTTCTAACGGGTTTGCGACTAAAGTCAGTTCAATGACAATCGGCGCGTAGGAGAGAGGAATGAAGTTTGAGACTTGGAAGAACGGACAACCTGGACGATAATAACCAGTCTTTTTGAATCTTTTTGTTTTTGAAGCCCATAAAGTTTGATGCCACCGCTTCTTCTACAACTAACGCTCTACCCGCTTGACTTCCATCATAAGTTAAAAATATGTTTCCTTCATTATAGAAGGTCTCACCGAAACCTATGTTGTCGCTGTAGTTTCTTGAACCGTCGTCTTGTAAATATCCATCATTGCTTCGTATCTGTTAAGGTCAGGAATTTCAGCGATGACATTACTACCCACCCTCACCCGCATCCGTTGGAAGAAGAATGATGGTTTGGAAGCGGGTCTCAATTCTTCTGTTCCGTTGTTCTCTCCATTGACTAATGTAAAACCTATCAAAAGACTTCGTAGATTTATCCACTCGTTCGCTCCCCCTGTGAGATTAAACCGGATCACTGAGTTAGAGTTGGATGAGTAAGTTGAAACCGATGAAGGGTAGAATGTCTTGATGCGTAGAAACCCTGATATAACTTGCTCCTCCCTTCAATCTGTATCTTAAGACATATTCGTTTAGAGCATCTGTGATTTCTAATGCTTCCATACTTACATATATTCTATATAGAAAATTACATTTTCATCAGGTTAAATCAAAATCATACTTCTTAAATGTATTTTTACCTTCTTGTTGGTGCTCTTACTCGGGGTAGTATGGATGCTATATTTTCATTTTGTTTTATCTCCTTCCGCTCTCTATAATTTTTTTTATTTCGTTGTAGGTCAGATGCTTCTTCCTCTTGGTGGTCTCTTCCTTCAAAAGTTCCGTCTCCTTCTTGTAGTGTCGTGCGTATTCTTTCACTCTGTCTTCCATCATATACTAGAGATTAGATTATTTGAGTGCCAGTGCCTTTACCGACATCCCCGAAATACTTTGCCTGATACTCGTGATTGTAAAGGGGGTTGAAGGAGTTTTTATTGACATGAACGTTCGCCCCTCTGTCAAGCATACTCACCACATCGTTTGACGTTCTGTATCGTTCAACGTTAGGGTCGGTGTTGAAGTTCCAACTAACAAGCGGGGCGTTGTAAGTCCTTACTTTTCATCTTTTGCTCTTGCTGTTGTTGAGTTCCATCGCAATCGCCCCCCCTCAATGTTTGAAACATCCCGATGCTTCTCTTTCTCTGTAGGAAATTCACGCTTACCTTGACCGTCCCAGCAATGCTTCTGGTGCCATCCCAAGCGAAAGATTGAAACTTCCGAACTGGGGGGTGTTGCGATCGAGAAACATGGTGGTGCCACCAACAAGCGCTGGCAGAAGCCTATCCCGTTCTCATTGACGTGGCATCTTTAGGCGCTCTTAGCCGTATTGAGCAGCATCCGAGTGCCGTGAAGCAGCACAAAACTCGTCTGGATCAACAGCCGGATGCATACGAGTCTAGTCCACTTTACGTCCACTGAATGTGCAGGGTTGACTCTATATAAATTCCTCCTTGAACTAGAGTAACTAGACTTACTTCTTTTAAAGTAACTATATATATTTACTAAATTCCACCTTGCACTTGATTTGCATCTTTTTGCAACTTGCCGATGGAACTCTCCGTTTTTACGTCGTGGCGGCCGCCTCTCCTTCCTCGTCCTTCAGGGCGGCTCTGCCGGAGCCGAGATTGCCCGGTGCCCTTGCGCCTCCAGTGCCCTCGAGGGAGGCGAACGTTTGGTGTTCATTGGATGGTTGGTTCCACCTGGTGGGTGGTGGACCTGGTGGTGAAACCTCTGGTTTCCTCGTCCGTTTTCTGCGGGTTTCCATCGATTCTTCGGGGGTCGGCGCCGATGATCTGTTTGGGTTCCGGTTTCTTTCGCCCGGAAACAGCGATTTCTTGTTTTTTCACAATAAATGTGGTTATTGGAGCGGTGCCAACTCGGCTCAGGTTGTTTCTCTTCACCAGGATCAGCAGCCAGACCAGTGGGGATTCCCAGTGGATGAAGGGGGTGCTGGAAGGGCTTCTCTTGAGATGACGGATGATCAATTATAATTATGGACATGTCTCATCAACCGTTCTGGCGCTGTTGCCCAATCTTTGTCCTCTACTTGTTTGTGGGTGAAACGAATTGACCCAATCACTGAGTCGATGGGCTAACCTGTACCCTTGTACAAATGACAATTCACCACCCGCAAGCGGAGGAACACCCAAAAGAAAGAGGCCGCAGGGCGTATTTCTCAGTTCTTCAGAACTGCCCTTGGTCATGCGGACAATGTTCAAGTCGCCGGCTTTCTTGATGCTTGGAAGGAAGGTTTTGCTTGCAGGATACCCTCCCTGGACTCCTCCTTGGTTTGCATTCACCTCTTTGGTCCACCATTGGGCCCTCCACCGGTCCTTGCTGTCGACCTGGCGATGCCACCGGGCGGTGCCACCAGACCCTCACAGGGTATCAGTGCACTCACCACTGGTCTGGACTTCTTGAAGCAAAAAGGACCGGGTGGCATGGGCCCACTCTCAAGAAGAGTCTGAATCCTGTACTTCCTGAGTTGTAGATGAAAGATGTGGTGATAAGACTTCAGCTTGGCTGACCTTGGGGGAGAGACTTAAGTTAAAGACAATGCAATCACCAAAGAAGGCCAAGAGAGTCGACCCATCCATGGCAAAATGGGAGAGTCTTTCTGACCTGGGTTGGGATCACTTGCTTCCCACACACGTCCTGCCTTTGGATGCTGCTTCCAATCGTCCCTAATTCGTTAGATGGCCGAATCAGGCACCACTGAGTTGACGGGTTTTCTTCGCACGCCACCAAGCCTGTGAAACTGAGTTCTTCTGTTCCACGCAACTGCCAGAGTCCAAGGCCTTCACAAAGAATGGCCAGCTACCTTGTGCTGGAATGATGTCGGGAACATTCTGCTCGAGGCTGGTGAAGTACATTGCATTGAAGCACTCTACTGGTCTTCTCTTGTTGCTGTTTTTGTTTTATGCCATGCTTTGCAAGCAAGTACTGACGTCAGAGATCTTGGATGGTTGGTGTCACAAAACCAGGTATTTAGTTTTTTCAACAGTCGCCGCTAAGGGACCTTGTGGCCATTTGGCTTCACACAGCATCCCACCTGTTGCTTTGGCTTTGCGGCTCAGCCATGGCGGCGATCGTGAGCCTTCTTGGAAACGCATGGACGGCTCTCTTCGGCGGAGATGAGGCTGGGACAACCATGAACAGTCATCATGAAATGACTAAGAGTAGATTTCCATATTTCTCAAATTTCCAGCTGCCGTGAAGGCTCTTCCTATTCCTCGGTAGAAAGCAGTGACACCAAACGGCTTTGTTTTAGGGGTTGGTACAAGAAGTATCAAGCAGGAATTTTTGGAAAAGAATGGAACAGGCAGGAATCCAGAAACGTGTTGTTTGTTGCAGCCCTAAGAAGTTTTGACCAAGGAACACCATCCAAGCCATGACTGAACATTCTCTGAGTTTCTTTTGATCGACTGCTTCAGGATGAGTCGGACGAGGAGTTTGAGTCCCCACGCTGTGGTAATGCAGCCGGCGCGTCCGGCGCGTCTGCTGTTGCGGCTCCGCTGCCCAAGCTGTTGGGCACGAGCGGGTGTGCAAGTCCCGAAGGGGTGCGGAAGCCTCTGCCGGGGGTGCCCATGACTACAAGGACAAGTGCTACAAGGAACTCTTTTGAGGAGTGGTGTCATTTGCACTTGAATGGCTGTGGAAACAAGGACCTGACGATCCTCCTGTTGGGGCAGACCGGCAGCGGCAAGTCTTCCTTTCTGAATTTGCTGGGCAACTTTCCAACGGTCATGCAGCATGGTCAAGACGCCATCGATGGCAAGATGCAAGACTACCGGAAGTTGGAGTTCGAGAATGATGTGAGAGACCAGAAAGTGAGCAAGACGTCAAACTCTTCCGTCTATCTTGTGGAGGTGGGTCCACTGCGGTTGAAGATCGTGGACACACCTGGCTTTGGTGACACTAGGGGCAGGACCTTTGATGAGAAGCACACGAAGCTTATCGTCGAATGTGTGAAAACACTGGGCCATGTTGATGCCATAGTCTTCGTCATTTCAGGTCGTGAGCCTCGTTTGACAGTGCAGTTGAAGTATGTTCTGATGGAGGTTTGTGCAATTTTGCCAAAAGCTGCAAAGAACAACATTGTCGCAGTGTTCACCAACACTACGGGTCCGCTCTACCTGAGCTTCGACATTGATGCCTTGAATGCCATGGTCGAGAGTCCGGTACTGCCTGAGAGGCAGATCTATATCGAGAACCCATATGTCCTTTGGGAGAGATACAAGCAGAACAAAGGCAAAGTCGATGACGAAGCCTTTCAGATGGATTTGGTGAAAACTTTCAGAGATGCAGGGACAAACTTGGCAAAACTCTTTGTTGCCATGCTGACCATGCCCAGATTGAACACCAAGGAGTTTGAAAGGCTCTATCACTTGAGGCAGACAATTGAGCTGCAGACTATGAAGATCCTTTCTGAGTTGGAGAAGGCTCAACAGGAGCACAAGAACTTGGAGAGGCAAAAGAAAGAGATCGAACGCGCCAAAACAGAAGAAGACATGAACAAGCAGTACAAGAGAAAGTTTGAGAGCACTCGCTGGGTGTTCAAGGAGGCAAAGGAACATGGCACCTTCTGCGGTGTAAAGGATTGCCATTCAAATTGCCATGCACCATGCAAGATGGAGAAGACCATGGACAATGAGAAGTTCAAGAGCTGCTGTGCTTTCGAGTACACATACAAAGAAGTGACTTTGAGATCCAAAGCAGACAGAAAGGAATTCTTGAGAGCCACATGCGCGACGAGCGTGTGCTATTCAAACTTGATCAGGATTCTGAAGATGGAAAAGGTAGGTACGCTACTGTCCTCACAAACTCCGCTGATTTCCATTTTGACGGCCAGGACATCATGCAATGGGCTTATGTCTGGTGGGAAGGACATTCTGGGTTTGCGGCCAAGCGCGACTTGATGGGTCTTCATCTTCCAGCGCAAATCTTCTTGGCCGACTATTCTGACCAGGACACTTGCAACGTGTGTGGCCATCACCGGAAGTACCACTATCATGATGACAAGGTCTGGTGCCAGGAGGAGTACGCCGAGGAGGTCATAGATGAGGAGACCAAGCGGAAGTATGAAGAAGCGAAGAGCTTCAAAGAGAAGAGTGCCACGTTGCTGAGCAACATTGAAACAAGAATTCGCCAGTGCGAAAGGAGGCAGAAGGAGTTAGGAGCCACTTTGCTGGCAAATGTTCGTCAATTTGAACAGCACGGGCTGAGCCGCAATTATGCCATGTTGTTGCAAAACCAGCGGGATTTGCTGCAGCAGCACATTGATGCCACCTTGGAAAATGAGAGTGGTGCGGATGTATCGGCTCTCAAGAAGACAAAGGATGAGGTTGAAAAGGCTCTCCAGGTGGTCCAAGAGAATTTGCGAAGGAAGAATGGTGCCAATTCTTTGGAATGGGCTTGCAGCATGCTGGGTGTTTCTCAAAACGCCACGTGGAACGACGTGACACAGAAGTACAAGGAGGAATCAAAGCGACAGCATCCTGATAAACATGGAAATTGCGAGCGAATGCAGCAGATCAATGAAGCCTTTGAGATCTTGAAGAACCTCATGAAGCCTCGGGACTGGTTTCGAAGCTCCTGATGTGATCTAGATGATTTGGTGTGAGTTTTGTTAGGCACGTGCGCCGCCAAGAGTGTGGCCTTAATTGGACTTTGAATAGCCATATCGTGACTTGCACACGGCCACGTCGATGTGATGCAAGGAACGATCAGAGTATCCATGGCTTCTCCCCATGTTGTGCTGCTCACAGCTGATGGCAGCAAGCTTCGACAGACTTGCAGACTGATTTGACAGCTTGGCAAAGAGGGGGTTTTTGACTTAGCAGCAGGTAAATAGATAATGTCAGAGCACGTGTGAAGCGAAACGAGCTGCCTTGTGATTTTTTCGCCTGAGCTTGACCTGCAAAGGTGGCAGCTTTTGACCTGGTGGAGCCGAGCACCAGCTAGTGATTGGCAAGGCCCGAAGTTAAGTGAACTGGATTTTGGGCCTTGTGGAAGCAAAAGACCACAAACATGATTATGATTTTTGACGTGACAAACAGGAGAATCCAATTGAGTGAATCTTTGATGAGAGAAGGCCACTGTTAGAAGAATCCAGCTGCGAATTTATTGACAGCTCGGTGGAATCAGGACTTCCTCCAACTAGGCTTGCTCATAATCTACACTAAATGGCATTCCTGAAGATTCACGTTCAAATCCACACCCCCGGAAACTGAGGCCCCCAACTGAGGGGAAACTTCACCTTTTTGGGCGTTTGTCCCGAGGGACGCAGAGGCGAGGAGGGGTGAAAGGGATCGGTGATCAAGGCGCGTAGCACCGCGGGTGTGCCAAACGATGCGCGGTGTGCGTCATGTCCCAATCATCAGGACCTTGCGATGAGCAGAACCGTCATTGTTTTTTTCCATGTTCTTTGCTGGGAAAGAAGGCATCAGGAGTCGACCGCAAGTCATGGAACAGTGCGACTGCGCAGTCATGGTGGCTCAAGATCAAATGGCGCCACTCACGGCTGCGCCTCACGATGGGAGTCATTTGATCTTTGACATGGCCAGATTGGCATTATATAGATGATTTGATCACCCAGCAATGACTTCAAGATGAGCAAACCCGTTGCAATTCAAAAAATCTTGAAGCCTGGTCCTTTGGACGCGCTTGTCCACTGGCTTCATTGCTTCACTCAGCGCAGCCATGACGAGCCAGAGAAGCTGGAAGGCCCTGCCGCTGGACGGCCGCGCTCCGCATCCTGTCGTGGTGAGCGCCAGCGATTCGGAGGATTCACAGCAGTCCATCGATCCCTTCCAGGACACACGACGCATCACGTCTTCGACGGGACGGCTTTTTCCATCCGCGCGAAACCGACGGTTTCGACGGACCCGTTTTGCGTCTTCTTTGAGGAGGATGGGGAGGATGGGGAGGACGGAGGAGTCTTTTTTCAGTGTCTCGTAGAGGACCATTCTTCACATCAAGAAGGGGGAAACATTCAATTATATATAATACCTGACACCTGTTTCAAGACCTTTGGCTTTCTGTTGAATCATCTCCAACCCGAGTGGGCAGAATCTGTTTGTTTTGCTTTGGTCAGCCGGCCCCGGAAGTGGCCGGCTTTTCTTTTTCGGGATGAGTTCCGTTTCAGTTCCCCTCTCCCCTCTCTCCCCTCTCCCCGCGGCTTCTCGCCCGCGTCGTCAGGAGGTGGCGCGCACGATCGACCCGTCGGACTCGGATATTTACATCGACGCGCTCTTCGGGCCCATGTACCGGCGCTTCGAGCGCATCCTGAAGGGCCACTTCACCGGCGCGAAGGTCGTGGAGTCTCGGTCTCCGGTCTCGTCTCGGTCTCGGGCGAACTCGTCTTTGCGGTCACGTGTGAATGGCTTGCGTTTTCTTTTATATGTTTTTTGGACGGGGGCTCTTGGTGTTCGGACGGATGGGAAAAGACCGTTTTTGTTTTGTTTTTTTTTGGGTGGAAGAAAGCGGCAAGAGGGTGGAGGATGTTTCTTTTTGTTATATTTTCGACTGATCGATGAGAGTTTTTGCGAGCTCCCAGACCGTGAAGAAGGTCTGTTTGTTGGAAATCACTTGGCTGGGGTTTTGTGTGCAAGAGGACTGTTTGATCAGGGTGATCTGGCAATAATATGCAATTACTCGGGGGTTCAGCTTCACCGTCCATTTCGCCAACATATGCTCGTTGGCCCACAAAAGTTCATTTGCCAGAGAAGATAACTGTTGCAACAGAACCGAGTGTTCAGCCAAGCGACTTGGCTCTAGGAGACCTCTCTTGGCTCGCAAACCAGCTTTACCCAAGTTTGCCTGCTCATTTAGTTATTTCCAGTCTCAGTCTCGAGGCAGTTTCTTTTTTCATCTTTTCCCAGGATTATGCTGTGGTTGGGCCTTTCATGCTTTTGAATGTGCTCTTGCAGTTGACGATCGCAGTGAAAGTCCTTGCTCTTTCCAACAACACCTACTCAGAGAATGTTGGTGCTCTCTTCGAAGGCGGGTGCACCAACATGGATCAAACACCTGCCTTGTATGGCATTGTGTGGCCGAAGGCTTTGCAGAATGCCACCGTGGACACCTATGACTGCAGTCTTCACTTGGTGACCATGTCCTTCTACCCGGAGCTTCTAGATCTCAACGGTGACCAGCTTTGGTCGATGACGGAAGCTCTTCAGAAAGCCCAAGACATCAAAGATGCTTCGGGCATCATGCCTCACGGTGGATTGCATGGCTTCCAAAGGGCTTTGAAGCGTATGATCGCGGATGATGTGGCCAATGCCGCCAGGGAGGGGTACCCACTCAGGAGTAGTCCTGAAAAAGGATATTTGGATTTGGCTTGGTTCCAGCGCAATCGAGAGAAGTTGAAGGTCTGTGAAGTGGCGGACAAGCACATGTGTGGCAATTTGGAAGCAGACCATGTCTTGGACCAGGCTTTCCCGGACTTAGATCCCGATCAACGCGTCGCGAAGTGTTCAGAGACTGAGCAACTCTGGTGCCGGCGCGGGATCTTTGGAGAAAGCCAGCATGCCCTCTATAAGCACAAGAAGAAAACCTGTGGTGCCGAGACCTACATCGAGTCGCACGAGGGTCTCCCAATCCTCAGCTACGAGTCAGTGGAAACCTATAGAGGAGACGAGGACTCAGTGACTGGCTCGTTGTTCTTCACACTCTTTCTCATCGTGCTCTTTGTGTGGCCCGGTTCCTGAGTTCCGGTTACCGATGTTTGTTTGGGGACCCGGGCCATTGGTGGCGCGTGACCCGGAACGTCCGGCCTTTTGCCGGCCTGAAGCCTCCAATTTTAAGTGTTCAGAGTCCAGATTCGTGCTGAGTCTCAGTGCTGAGTCTCAGTTCACCCACCACCGGCCATATCCAGCCATCGCTGCTTGGTTTTTTTTTTCACCTTTGGCAGATGTGGAGACTGAGGTGGGGCATGATCATGGTGGAAGAGTTCAGAGCGATTCACAACTTTTGGGTTGTGATCTGGTACTTCCCATCGACGAACATGGGCAATGCAGACTTTGCAAGCCTGCAGGAGTCGAAGATGCTGGTGAGGGCTGCTCGGTTCTGGATGTGGACCGTTGACCTCCCTTTCATCCTTTCATCGACCAAGCAACGTGGGAACGTTTGGTGTCTGTTGGTCCTGTTTGGCTCACTGGGTGTCTCCAGTTTGGGCAGAGGATGAATCGGGGGTTCCCACCCGATTAGAATTGAAGAAAAGTCTTGCCTCAAAGAGGATCTTCATCAGTTTTTTGCTGTGATTCTTTTTACACACCTTCTTCTCCAAGGAGTTGCCAGTGATTCACAAAGGGGTCACCCTGATGATTGTGCTGCTGCGCTTGATGATTGCCGTGATCCTTTTCTATGCCGGCTTGGTCTTCCTCTCAGTGACGACGAGCCTCACAGATTTGATCTTGAATAGCACTGCCTTGAGCTTTCTGATCGAAGTCGATACCCTGATCCATATGGCCTTCCTAGGCGGGCATTTGAAAGCTCTGCCTCGACTTGAATCGCCCATTTCTATTTTTGGTGGGGAAGCTATTAGTCAACCGACAAACAGATCCAGTCGTAAACCAAGCATTCTGCCAAGGGGTTGTAGATGCTCAGTATGAGTCGGTATGAGTCAGGACATGAGTGTTTGTTGGAACAGGGAGACATCCCCAAAATGATCCCATCTTGAACGTGTTCCATCTAGCCGCGTGTTCCATCGAATCTAGCGGTGTTTTGTTTGTTCCACGGGTTGGCGCGCTAGCGGAGGTGAATCCTTTCGCTTGACGGTCACCGACCGTTGTGACATGCTCACCATGACCTCCACCGAATATGCGGGGCGCTGGCGCTATGCGGTGCACCTGCCACTGCTGCTGATCGTCTTGGCGATTTGGATCTGGCACGTCTACTACGGAGAGAACCCTGTTTTTATGATTAGTAGATAACATCATCATATGTTGTTTCATCCAAATGGGGAGGGTTTATTAATCAAGAGTCTATACATTTTAAGGTGATATTCAGGTGCAATTGGTTTCCCCTCCTGGCGTTTCATCCTCTTGTGTGTGGGTCTGGATGTTCTATTTGGTTCCAGGTTCCCGGTTCCGAACGACGGCCGACGCCCCCAGGAACGGCCTCTTTGCGATCTCGGACGCCATGCTGTGCCTGTGTCAAGCGGAGGGCCGTTGCCTGGCCGCCACCATCATCGCGAGCTGAGTGCGGCCCGAGTGCTGTGGCCGTTTTCGCCGTTTTCCGGTCCGGTGGGCCGTTGTTCCCCGCTCCGGTGTGGGGATTTCTTGAAACCGTTTCCGCGGTCGTTGGGGTCGGTGAAACGAGAGAAGGTCACGACGTATTCGCCGCAGAGGCAAAACGGAGCGGGCCGAGCCTGTTGGGCGATTTCGGCGGGTTCGGCGATTTCGTCAGGCCGACCGAGCAGGGCGACCTCCGTTTTTGCAGGTCGGAGTCACACCTCTACTTTGAGGTTTTGCTCAGCCAGGTGGAGGAATAATTCAAATGAAAAATGACTACAGGGACCCAAAAGACATCGAAGACATCGAAGACATGTTGGAAACACCGATTCAGAAGCCCTAGAACTATTTGTGAAAGGGGCTACAGGGAAGGGACAGATCGTTGAGGACTGAGTTAGATCTTTATCGCCAACTGATTTGGGATACAAGCCGGATACAGCATCCTTTTGATCCTCTAAAGGATCTAAAAGCAGGTTGCCTGCTTCTGGCAGGGAGGCGAGCCTCTTGCATCCATGGGAAAACACTTCCCATGGATGCAAGATACCTTCCAAGAGGTTCTAAAAAAAGAGGGTTGAAAAAAACGCTAGCAATCCCAACAAAACGATACCTACCTTACAAACTTCCACTCTCAGGGCCCCGCCGGGCCCCGCCCTCCACCTCCTTGCCGGTGTCAGATCCACTTCGTCGAAGACGTCACTCAGCGCAGGGACTCAGCTGGAGGGACTCGTTGAGAGGTCTTTTGACCGGTCGACTCAAAAGGAGAGGCTCTCAAAAGGAGAATACATCGATCATGAGGTCATGAGTCAGAAGATCATCTATAGATCATCTACCCGACCTGGGGGGCCCGTGCCGTGTTGTTCTGACTCCTCCTGCGCCATATTCTTCGAAGTTTCGAGGAGAGAGTGGTCGTCGGATGTGCCCGATCGTGCGGTTTTGACTTTATAGGCTATTCGGCAAGAACAGTACCTTTGTCTTGCTTGTGTCAGATGGGGCATCCATGCAATGTGGTATGAAACTCTCAAGGCATGATCCCTTGCCCAAAAATGTACTTTTTCCGTCCCCTTTACATATCCCTTAAAGGTGCCACCTTGTCGTGGACTGAAAGGCGGCCCCCTTCTCGGTGGCGGGAATACGACCAATCCATGCCAAGACCGCTTGGTCTGCCGAGGCCTCAGGATGGATCCACCAAAGCAGCCCGGAGAAGTTCGAGGATGGGGCACCGCCAGGCCAGGCATGGGATTTGCTTCGGTGAGGCCACGCAGTTGGGGTTTGGCACCTGCTCCATGGAGAGTTGGAGGGGAGTAACGATGGTGGTTTTTCTTCGTTTGGAGCAGTCCGATTCGGAGGGTCTTCTAGGCAGCTTGGAGATCGTCATGCCCGGCGGGGCCGCGAGGGGTGGTGGCACATGAGGCGGTTGAACAAAACCCGTTTCAACCGGGGAAAAACATGCAGCTGTGAGATGCCGTGAGGTGCAAAAGCTCTTCGGGGAGTTGAGACCTTTTTAAAGGGAAGGAAGGTTTTTCAAGGTATTTAGCAGCCTGCCAAAGAATACCAAAGGCACAATCATGATTATACAATCATGAACATCAGGACCCAGGTTTGAACTGGAGAACGGAGCAGTGTACATCACTTGTGAGGCCAGGAAACGTGATCACGTGGGGTGCACCCTCTTGAGCTGTTGGTGGTTGAGAACCCTCTTGAAGCACCTGGAAAAACTCAAAAAACACCAAACACCAAATATATGACCCATAGCGTGCCATTGGCACTCTTTGGGGATTCAGGGATTCAACTCAACATGTTGGAAGTGCTGTGCCCCAAGATTTTCAGGAAGGAGCTGGAAATGGAAGCAACTGCAGTCGTTGGGAGGGTGAGTCTTGCTGTGATTTATGGGATCATGCTGGGCCCCAGACACTTGCTGCAGATCACTTCGGTGAGTCTTTCACTTGCAGTTCCCAGGTGTGATTTGCTACCTGAAGACCTGGTGGTCCTGGTGGTACTAAAAAATTCCAGGCGCGCTCGCATGTCCCGAAGATCCCTCCACTTGGGGTCAGACCTTCCTCCATTCGAGCCATTCCTCCGGTTCTCCCGCTTCTTCGGAGGTCGATCGGTGCGTAACTCGACCGCTTCGGCTCCAGGGCGCGGGCGCCGCGTCCCGAAGCGCGGCTGAGCTCTCCCGAGCGCCGCGGCCGGCGCGGGACCCGCGCGGGATGCGAGCAAAACACGTCCGTGTTCGGCGGTGTTCGGCCCTTGGTCCCTGAAGTGAAGAGGCACAGAATAGCATGGCACAGCCCACGAAGGTGTGGTCTATTCGGGGTGTTGGGATGGGTGATCGGATGGGGAGAGGTTGGGAGTGTGGTGGCAGAGCCGTGACCACCAATTCTGGAGACCTGGAGAGTTTCGAGAACACCTTCCGAAGGATTCCCCCGCGGTCCCGTGAGAAAGTCGGCTGTGGCCGCAGACTCCAGCTTAGTGGGCTGAACGAAACATGGGCTACCAAACCCATCAGTTGCGGATGAGTTCAGTTGCCTCTCCTTTTGGACATGCCCCTAGCGAAACGACATTCATGCACTTTCTTAGACTCCTGACCCAGCTCCTGTTCCGCTTCGCTTGGTGCCCCGTTTCTGGATTTCATCCAAGCAGTGAACAACTCTCTACCCATCAAAGCATGTTGGTTCAAGGAGGCAGTGTCATAGGCGCCTTTGGGTGTTGTTTGTCAGGATGTGGCCGCTTTTTCCAGAGAGGGCTGCAAAAAGAGAGGCGCTCCCAAGAGAGGGCGGAATATGATCCATGAAGTGATGGGATGTTTGTGTTTCCCTTTGCTTCCAGGGCTGCTTGCCAAGCGCCTCGGGCTGGCATGTGCTCAGCGAAAGGCTGAGATTGATGCAAGCCGCGAGCACGGCCCCAATCGCTTGAACGGCCTATTTTCCTGTGATCCAAGTGACTCCCGATGACGTCGAAATTCGATGGCCCCGGAGTGGTAGAGCTCAAGGGTCCAATTTTGGCCCCATCGACCCGCGCGAACCTCGCGGCCTTTTCTCGCACTCTTTCAAGCAACCCACGTTTTTCGTGACCAGACGCAGCAGGCACCTGAGGGCACCGCCCTCCGTGCCGCGGCCACGGAAGACATGTGTCTCACACCGTAACTGGAGGTGTGCCTTAAATTTCCTGCCAGGACCTGTGAAGCCTGTTCGGTGAAGCCATGGCGGAGTGGTGTTTGTGAGATCTCGAGGAACAAATCAGTGTGTCTGTAAAAGAACAGATACAAAGAGATTCCTAGTCAAAGTTGAACTCTTTTGTTTGTTCATAGCATCGGTCCTTTCTTGAGAGCAGAACTCGCTTATCCTTTCTCGCCACCATGTGCAGGCGACATGCGGGTGAAGATGGGTAGTGGCCGTTATGTGAAAGTAGAGTGACGAGGAACAAGGAACTTGAAAAGTCAGTTGTTTTGGAGGTTTCTTGACTAGATTGACTCATGTGTATCACAGTGTTGATTGGAGCAAAAGCATGCAAAAGCTATGTTCCTGCAGGAGTGGACCGTTCTTTTTGAGGCTGCAGCCCTGCTGGAGCAAGCCACCTTGCTCCCTCGGCCCCCAGAACATGCATGCTCGAAGCTTGCACGGCCAGACGTTTCTTTTTGCAGGCAACGTCTAAGTCTTCGGGCAGTAAACGTCTGACTGGATGCCATTCAGAGATTCATCCGGAGCCGAGAGGAGGTTTCATCATGCGTAGCGCACATGGTTCGCTCCGGAGGCAAACCACTCTATGGAGCGATGTCCGGTCGACGTGGGCTCGGCAAACGTCGGGCGACCTTCGCTCCTTTCCGCCCTGACGCAAGCATCGTGTCGCCCACATCGTTTCGCGCGCCGCGCGCGTGTCGCCGGCTTCGGCTTTTGGCGCGAGGAAGAGGCGAAGCGTTTTGTCGTGCGTCGTGGCTGCAATTTCCGATCGCGCGAGGCTGTCGGGTTTGTCCTTGGTCTGTCGGCTTGGCGGAAAGCCGCTTTGCCTTTCTTTCGGTGCCGTGGAAAGACGATGACCGATCGCGGAGGGGGCGAGACCCCATAAAGATGTTCATCGGTGACGACACCGGTTTAGACGGTGGTGAGACTGCCCAGGGCAGTCTGAGGTTTTTGCTGAAGATCGTTTGTAACAAGTCTGGGGAAGAGCAGGGACCGTTTGTCTTCTTTTCTCAACTCCGGCTGCAAGTCCAGAAAGTCCGAAAGACAGCATGCCAAGTCTGCAATCCACTGGGCAGGAATTTGTAACTTGCGGTCTTTTTCTTTCCAAAGGTTTCAGGCAGAAACTGTGCAGAAGAGGTCCTGACGTTCCTGTTACATGCCTCGTCCTTGGTTTTTGCCCCCGGCACGTCGGCTGGTGGCTGAACGGTCCGGTCCGGGGCTGAAGGCGAAGCTTTAGCCTAGCTCGCCACGGCTGAAGGCGGCATGGCTCTACATGGCCTACTGTGAGATGTGTCAGGTGTGTGAGATGTGTCAGGTGTGATCAATTCTTAAATGTGCGTCTACCTAGTCCTGACCTACCTGATCCGGATAGGATCCTGAGAACAAGTCTCAAAAGGAGCAAAACGGAGAATCCGTGTGCTTATGCTCAAGGAGCCAGGTGCATTTGATGCATTTGCACCTTGGCATTTGTACCTTTCCTGAAAAACATGGCAAAGGATGCGGTGCAATCACTGCAGTCCTTAGTTTCGGACTAGGGGCACAGGTCCAATGTCTTTGGTCCAAGTGTCTCAACTCAGATTTCGAAGAAGCGCAACCTGACCTTTCGATGTAGAAGTCAGTTGCTCTCTGATGCTTTTGTGGGAGTGTCGACTGGTGCCAAACTCCAGCCGATTCCAAACGGCCAAAGCACTGCCAAGAGCTTCATCACCGAACCAAGGCCAGACATCCGAATTCTTCAGAAAGTTAGACCGGAGAGAAACCAACTCAATGGTTCGCCCAACACCGCGGCTCC